CAAAAAGACTTTGATCCTAGTGCTCCTCCACCATTTAAGATTGCAGAAATAAGAGCTGTCATACCAAAACATTGTTGGGTAAAGAACCCTTGTGAGATTCACTGTACTGTTTCCATTGTTTGTGTATCCATATTATTTGGTGAGTGCTTTTTGACTTGGAAGTTGGAACACAACATTATTATAGTATAGTTCAAAAATAATGGCTTTTCTTTATTTAAGAGGAGGCCTTATAACTGTTGATCGTGATTATGGTTGCATTAATAACATCCACCATGACATTGGCACACATGTTATCCACCATCTCACTACTAGAAAAACACTATCCCTAATAAATCTGTAGAAAATAAAAGGAATTGTGCACTAATAATAGAACATAATCAGTTCAAAATATATATCTAGCATTAAAATAGTTTTATTTATAAATAAATAAATACATAATGCATGTTTCAATATGGGAACTTATTTTTATTATGGTATATTAGTCGAATGACTGTTGGAAAGATGATAGAGCTTCTTGGAGGGAAAGCAGGGGTTTCATGTGGCAGGTTTCACTATAGAAGTGCTTTTAGCCAAGTTTCCAATATTTTTATAACCGTAGAGATCGATTTGTTAACTTAACTACGTGGTTGATGGTATTTCTATTTTTCTGCATGTTTTTTTACTGTTTAGCTTAACTAGGTGGTTGTTGGTCAGCTCATGTAATTAGTGTTTAGGGTGGCTAAATTATCTTGAATTAATAATTTTTGCTCAAAATTATCAAGGCCAATTACCTTTTGACTTGGCTATGTTCAATAATTCACCGGTAGTGTTTCAAAATGAAATCACTTTTTTCAATATCTAATATTGTATATTTTGTGTTTCTAATTATGATTTATGTTTATATTGTAGGTTTCTGATCAAGGAAGTGTGCCAACATATGAAACAAATTCTCAACGTGAAATGGGGTGTGGGTGATAGCTTAAAAGCACATTAATTAATTTGTAGTTGATTTGTGCTTCATTTTTTGAAGATAAAAACTGTGTGCTAGTTTATTTTGAGTAATTTGTAGTCTATTTCTTCTTTTAGGAGTGACTTCATGAGAATACTCCTTTATTACTATTATGCTACATTATGTTAATTTTAAGCTTCATACCTTATGCTAGAAATATAAATTTAGTTTATATTTATAACTTGCAAATTTGATTTGATTTACAAACTTTATTAATAAAAATAAGATCTTCTAAAAACTAGTATTATATATATATATATATATGTATGTATATATACACAACAAATAAAAATAATAATTTATGAGAATAATAATGGTTCAAAAACTTATTGACGTACACAATTAAGAAACAAATGTTAAAATAAAAATAACAATGATGAGGTTAAATAACCCCTTATACAAATATTTTATAGTAATTAATCCTCAACAATTAATAGGAGTTAAAAATTGCAGACAAATGCAGCACCATATTAGTTTTTTAAAATTTTTTTAGGATTATTAATCTCTATTATTTAATAGAAATCTCATCTAATTGTCAAAAGTTTACAAATCGTGAGGAATTAACCGGGGTTCTAGAACCCCAGGCAATCATTTGAGGTTTTTAAAACTTCTGGTCATTAAATGGGGTTTTAAAACCTCTGGTAATTAACTGGGGTTTTAAAACCTCCGGTAATTAACTGGGGCTTTAAAACTGTTGGTAATTTACTGGGGTTTTAAAACCCCCGGGAACATGTGCGTTTACCCAAGGTTCGCTAAAACCGTTGGTAACACGTTACCGACGGACAATTTGGCTGCGGAAAATGCAACCGCGGGTAATGTCATCAACGGGGGTTTTAACCTCAGGTAAATTTAAAATTAACCTCTACTAAATCCATTTTTTTTGTAGTGATTATGATGGGTGTTGAAATTTTAATCTTTGTTTTATCAATTGCAATGTTGTAAGACAATAGGTATATATTTTAAATATTTACAGATTAAGTTCCATGTGACACCCTTTTAAAAGGTTGTCATTTATTTGCATATTAAATGGACTTAAGAAAAATGTAACTTATCACAGTAGTAATAATGGAGAAAGTCCAAATATTGAACAAAACTTCTTTGTAAAGTCAATTACCAACCTAATTAAAAATTTAAACAAACAAAATTTGATTTACAATAATATGATAGAAAATAATAATTAAAGAAAAAAAATAAATTGATTGAGACTGATAGATTAAAAACCCAAGAGTTTGTGAGTTATTGTCCCTAAGTTTCAGCAAACCTAGAGTGATTAAGAGATTCAATTACATGTTTTCATAGAAATAGAAAAAATTCTTGGAAATGATGTATACAACTTATTCAAGGTTATTGGCTACATTTTTTTTGTTTGTATAATCAATACATCAACACAAGTAGTGATCCAATTTCATAAGACGATGGTCATAGAGTTTATATATATTCCAACACAAATTTTGTAAATGATTTATTATTTTGTATTACATAACAATGATAATAAGAATATATTAATTTTTTCTTCTATACTCAAGTGGGATCCTTAACTCTACATGTTTTACCATTTATATCGTTATTTAGAAAATAAGTCAATATTAAGTGGAGATGATTTTTCACATTTGTCAAAACATTGTTTCAACCTTTGCTTTACTTTTTTTATTGGAGAAGTGCTAACTTATCTTATTTAAGATAGTGTGGATGAAAAGTGAAAAAATATATTTTTGATCTTATCACTATGTTAATATGTTTTAGGAAGTGTTTCAGGTTCAATCTTAAGTAATTTTGAAATTTTGAAATTTTATTCTTGACATTTGTATTTGTGTCTTAATCATGTTTCTATAACAAATGAGTAACGCTAAAGCTGATGCATTTGGATCAATTATTAATTTTGGATTAATTTGAATGAGAGAATGACAATTTTTGTTATTATTGATTTTGTTGTAAATAAAAACAATTATTTGCATAAAAGTTTGTCTTTAAATTAAATTGCAAAGTTGGAAATTATCAAATTATGAAGCACCATGATGATTTGAAGATATCAAATGTTGAATAATATTAAATCTTTAAATTTTTTTGAAGTTGTAACTCAAGACTAGTTGTTTAGAATTATTTTTTTTTACTTTTTTCTTCGTTAATAAATTTTATTTTAATTACTAACATTTAAAATATTAATAATTGGGCATTCTATCATTTTTATAGTTTTGTTGTTATGAATTGTTGTAATGTTTTTAATTGATTAATATTTGTTATGAATTATTGTAATGTTTTGAGTTGACTATATATTTTCATGTTAAAAGTATATTTCAATGTTTTCATTAGAGTAAATTACATTCTCCTCCCTTAAGAGATATAAATAATACACAACTCTCTCTTTTTATGTTAAAAATTACAATCTTCTTCCTCATATTCTAATGTATAACAGTGTACCATTACACTAACAGCCTTTCAAAGACATAAATATTACATCACCCTCCATTTCTTATAGACATTTTTCCCTTAAATTTTTTTTAAACATACTATACTTTAACAATATATCTCTTAATTTAATTATTTAATTATTATTATAAAAATTATTATAAATTTTACTAAAATTATATATATATATATATAT